GTGGAGAAGTGAAGCATCGTCACGATTTCGGCAAGAAGGAAGGTACAGCGGAGTATCTTCACACTATGCGGTGCACTACGCCGACGCAGAGCATGCTCTAGAGAAGGTAACCAAAAGGTTACCGCTTGGTTTCTCGTGTACTCTGTGTGTTTACCGTCCAAACATGCGTGGACTGGAGAGAAACCCGGACAAATCCAAGACCGAGGAGTTGGCTGGTGCTATTTGCTGTATGGGTCCTGAGGATAAATTGTTTTCTCTATTACTAGCTCATGAGTACACGGAGAAGAGCATCACTGGCTTGGGCTCTGGAGCGCTCAAAGGCATCGATCGAGCTCGTGTCGAAGCGCTCATTGAAGCGAATCAACTGGCTGACGCAGACAAGAAGCTGCAGCTGTTCTTTGCGGACTTGAAGCATCACGCCAGCTTCTATGATGCTGGCGGCGACTGGGAAGAAGACGCGCATAAGGAGGCGATCACGTGGTTCTCTCTGAGTGGCGAGAAGCTTGCCACTGCGTCGAGTGGCGCCTTTGAACTCAACTTCCTGAACCCAGACCAAGACACGTTGGAACAAATCTGGGAAGAACGTGGAGAGAGCACGTTTGAAGGGTATTTGGGTAATGAAGGAGCCACGAGGAACACGACGTACTCACGGTACGCGCTCGTTGCCTGGCCTGTGGCGAATGGAGTAGAGAACTCGTTAAAGTTGATTAGTTCGACTGCTGCGATTGAGGCGCTACAGACGCAGAGGCCGGTTGCACCTGAAACACTCCGTAAATTTATGAGTGCTGCCGGTGACAAGATGGCAAAGACTCAGGCCGAATTCACTCGCTCGCAAGCTTACTCTTACGGGGAGCGTAAGAAGAAAGCTGGTGTGTCGGTGGAGTTCTCGCAAACTTTACGTGATCTGCTACTTGAGGCAGACGACTCGAGTCTGGTGAACGAGTTCTTCACCAAGGTGTGCAGCAACGTGGGGATGAAGGACAACCTGGCTCCGACTATTATTGCGTTGGTGCGCAAGTATCAATGGAGCGATATTAGCCAAGCAATGTTGAGCTCATTGGAGGAGACTGAGGACACTAGTTACCGTTATGGTCGTGTGGTGGAAGTTGGGGACTCGAGTTTGGTGTTTAAACTTCAGATCCTCGAAGGTCTGGAGGATGGACCTGCGCAGCAGGCGCTGATGCAGGCAGCTGTGAAGGACGCCGTGAATCTCCGCACTGAGCGCTTGTGCGCTTGCAAGGCGCTCGCATCGCTCTGGAAATGGGTCATCCGCGCCGCTGACAAAAGCTCGTTCGACTCTGCGGTGGACAAGTTTAAACAAGTGGAACCTTCTCAACTGCGTCCGGTACTGGAAGCGCTTTCGGAACATGTAGGGGATATCAATGTATCGGACGAGAAGCTCACAGCGCTGGCATCAATCGCTGCTATCCGGATCAAGTGGCTCAAGAGTCAAGTGCAAGGACGCACAGAGAAGCCTTTCACGTGGGAGATGGCGAACGCTATATACCCCGACAATGCGCGGATTCAAGCGTTCCTTCGAGGTCCTGACAAGTCCATGACTACCACTGGGGTGCGTGTTTTCAGCGGTCTTCCTGCAGCTCGCAAGTACGTCAACAACGCCACACAAACCAATTGCTCGTTCAAGATGGAGCCTGGAGGCAGAGGGAAGGATGCGTTCGTGACGATCACCAAGACACGCACGTGGTCCAACAAGCAACACGGCGATACTGGACTGTACAATGCTGAGTTGAAGCTGCTGAACGAGCGCTTTGGAGACGTCACGACTGACGATGGCCCTGCCACGAAACGTGCTCGCACGGGGCCATGAGATTGAAGACGAGGAAGAAAGTTTCACTGACCTACCTAATGAAATCTGTCGCGCCGGGTGCAACGAGATAAAAGATGCCACCGAAGGAGTCCTACGTCCTATCACTGCTGCCCTGTCCTTGCTTGTTGGCTACTCATAGCGCGCTCGCTTACTTGAAATTCCAGCTGATGCGTCTTCAAATCGTGTGGAAAGGAGGTTAAATTCTGTCTTGTACTCCAGTAACTTCTTCTGATGTTCCGAAAACCAAGCTCGGGTTTTCTTGATCGTAACATACGCGCTCTGGCCTCTTCCATCCGGCTCCAACGTATACGACGCGTTGATTTGCTGTCCACGCATCCATTTGTTGGCGTAGTTGCGAGCATGACGGACTCCGTTAAATTGCCGTACTCCAACAGTTTTCATCGAAGCATCGGGGCCTCGTAGAAATGCCTGCACCTTCGCGTTGTCTGGGAAATATGCGTCGGGCAATTCCCACGAAAAGGGCTTCCCCAGTGCTTGGAGTTGGTCATTCAGCCACTCACATCGTCTCTTAGCAATGGACACGATCACAGCAAACCGCTCATCTGATGCATCCATCCCAGTTGCATGCTGAGAGAAAGCTTCGACCACTGGCTGTAGCAATTTCGGATCAATTTGCTTGAATGTACTCGCCACAGTGTCAAAACTGGTCTTGTCTCCACTTTGGATTGTCCACTTGCAAAGCAGATCCACCGCCTTTGACGAACAGAGTTTGTCCGGACGAAGTCTCAAGGCTTCCTCAACGGCTTTTTCTAGCAGAGCTTGGCGCGCCACTCCGGATTCGAGACCATTGACAATGTACAGCGCCACTTTCATGCACGTGTCGTCGGTCTCTTCTTCATGGCGCAATCCAAAGTTCAGGTTCTCGTCTCTGTGGTTCGTCTTGTCGCTCAAAGTCTTCAGAAGTGCTTGACCAATGTCGCTCCAGTCGAAAGTACGGACAAGTGTAGTTAGTGGGGCTACAAGCTGGTCCTTGATCGAGTTGCCCAATTTGCTGAGAGTTTCTTCGAAGAATGAGCGGACCAAGGATGGATCGTCGGCCTCCACTAGCAACTCACACAATGCTCGGCAAAAACCGACAGATAGAGCATTGCTTTGACGCCACGAGTAGCTCTTGTCTTTCTCTGCAAGCTTCGCACTCACGACATCCATATAGTTGCGAAGTGTTGGAGCGATGACTGGTCTCTGGCACAGCAAAGTCTCCACAGCAGCATTGACGTTGATGTACTGACATGCCATCTCCACACCGTGCACTGCAGGCCAGGCTACGATCGCATATCGAGAATACGTCGTACTCTTCGTCGCTCCCTCGTTGCCAAGATACCCTTCAAAAGTACTGTTGCCATGAGGCTCCCACAGTTCGTTCAGAGTTTCTTTGCCAGGATTCAATAGGTTGAGATGGAAGCTTGATTTTGGAGATTCCCCCAGCTTCTCGCCAGTCGTGGAGTACCATACTATCGCCTCGCCTCGACTATCTTCAACCCAGGAACCGCCATGTCCCAGTAGCTGATATCGTGTTTTAACTGTGCGATAAAGAACTGCAGCATCTTACCAGGCGCAGCAACACTGTTGGCATCCTGCAGCGTCTGGAATCTCGCTCGATCCACACTTTTCAATGCTCCTAACCCCATCTCTTCAATGCTTTTCCCAGTGTATTCATGGCCCAATAACAAAGCAAATGACGTGTCCTTGTCGCCCATACTGCTGATCACAGCGCCCAGTTCCTCGCCCAACGTCTCGTCACCGTTTCTTATCAAATGACGCATCGTAAGTGGCAGACAAATTGAGTACACGAGCACCAGACGGTAACCCGTTGTCACCATTTCTAAAGCGTGTTCTGCGTCGGCATAGTGCACCGCATAGTGCGGTAAGTAGCGTGCTGTCCCCTCCTTTTTGCCAAAATCATGGCGATATTTCACTTCCCCACCTCGATAGACCACCAGGTCCCCTCCTTGATGCAGACTAGGCAACTGAACCACCCAATGTGGCCACCATTCCGTCTTCTTTCTCGGTGTCTTGGTGCTTTACAAAGTGGCCTCCTTCTCCATACACTAGCATCTTGTATAGTTTGCATTGCATAGAGACACCTTTATAGCCAAGTCGACCAGCAATATTCGCAGTCAACTTGTCCATCCCCGTTTGCCATACTGGATTGCTAATTTTTACTTGATCTGGTGCGAGTTGCCAACTTTTGCGGACATTTTCGTCCATCATCGTGTCCAATTTCCTGCCAAAAGGAGATTTGTCGCATTCCGCAACAAGTTTCTCTGCTTGTTCAGCACACAGAGGCACGGAAATGTCCCCAACGTCTTTGACAAAAAGCCCCGGCACTGCAGGCAACGTGTCGGCTTGGCCACCGAACGAAAATTCGCCCGCATTGTCATCAGCTCTGGATAATAATTGGCTAATCTGTTTGCAGCCTTCTCCGGTTGGGACTGGCACTTCTTGGGGCTCCCCTTTGCCTCCAAACGGCCACTTATCGTAGCCAAAAACCTCGTGCTGTTTCTTTTGAGCAGGGTTGTTGCTGTAGAGAAACTCGACATCATCATCTCCGGACGAGTCTCTGGCTGCTTGCAGAGCCGCACTGCGAGCAGCAATGGTCGCTAACTGGTGGCGAGGGATCAAGCCGCCCGTAGACTTGCGCGCCGTCTGCTTAGTGCGAGCCATCGATAAAATGCCGGGTATCGTAAAACTTTTCCCGCCAAAAACGATTTAATTGGGTGAATGAGTAGAAACATTTCTAAGAGAGGATAGCTACTTTTTGCTTGAAGTTCACGGTCTAATTGGTGGCACGTTGTTTGTGCACCTTTGGGAACGTAACAAACGATTTCGAGTTGCTGAGAGCAGTGCCCATCACCTGGTCATCATCGGAAAGAAACGTCGCTTCAGTCAAGGTACGCTTGTCTATCGGCACCGCAAGGTAGTCCAGGATCTTGGTAGCTGCAATTGGTACAACCGGCTGCAACAAGATGGCTACAGAAAAGGTAAAAATCAAGTTGCCCAATTGCAATGGCAAATCGCAAAGTATCGACTTACCACTCGTACGCGCTGCGGCAATCGACAGATACAGCACAGTGTCCAGTCGCTCTTTCGTAGCTTTATCTTCTTCCGATGTCATGTCGGTTGAGGTCTTGAGGGTCTTGGATAGAACTCACGGCTCCATGATCGTGAAATACCTGCCGTTGACTATTGTCAGCAAGAACTGAAATTATACAAGTGCGCAAATTTGCCATCGAACTTACCGGTTAACATCGTGGAGGAAGAACACAATCTCTTTCAAGCCGCGTGCGAACTTAGTAAAAAAAAAACATCAAATCGATACGTTAGAAATGAAATCGATCACCACAACTCCAGAAGTCGACGACTTACATCAGGCGTGTCAAACAGCTGTTCTACCTTGTCGGCAAGTGCTTGTCCCTTAGCAACGAGTGTCTTGTCTTCGGCCGTGAGACGATCAAACTCCGGACGTTTGGGTACAATACCCTTCACAAGTACCGCCTTGCCCGTGCATCGAGAGACTAGGTTACCGAACGTGTCAGCGAGTTCACTATTTGCTCGGTCTTCGAGTGCTTCAGCGTTAAAATCCCCGTCGTTCGTCAGTACACCCTCACGCAACAGGAAGAAGCGTACGAAGTCCGATCCGTACTTGGACAGCAGTTCGTGGGGGTCCACAACGTTCCCCAAACTCTTGGACATTTTGACGTTCCCAACCGTCCAATGCGCATGAGCCACCACTCTTTTCGGAAGCGGAAGCCCTGCGGCCATAAGGAAGGCTGGCCAGTAAATGGCGTGGAACTTGAGAATATCCTTACCCACAATGTGATACGCAGCTGGCCAGGCGTGGTCAATGGCGCCAGGGTATCCAGCACTCGTCAGATAATTCGTCAACGCATCTAACCACACGTATACACAGTGCTTGTCGTCATCTAGAGAGCACAAAACAGCATATTATTAGCCCAAGAACAAAGCAGATCTTGTCTAAATTTTAAACTTACCTGGCACTGGGATGGCCCATTTGATCTTCTCACTCAGCCGTGACACCGACAAGTCCCTCAGTCCTCCAGCCACCGCCGCACGCACTTCGTTATACCTCGATTTAGGTACAATCACGTCAGGGTTGGCATCCAGCCACTCGAGTAATCGGTCCTGAAAGGCGGAGAGTCTAAATTTGTAGTTCTCTTCACGTAACATCTCAACGGGGTGTCCACTTTCCTTGGACACTTTTACCACGTTTCCGTGAGCATCCTCCTTGTCCTCCACCTGCATCTCGGTCAGGAAACTCTCGTCCGACTTGCAGTACCAGGACTCGTGGTCACCCAAGTAAATGTAGCCATTGTCGCGAATGGTCCTCCAAAATGCGTTTACAGCCTCGTGGTGGTCCTCGTCGCTTGTGCGGATAAAGCGCGAGTAGTCCACATTGGCCACTTGGAAAATCTCATTAAAGCGGGAGGACACCTCATCACAGAAGGCTTTATAGTCCGTCGTACCGCTCTTCTCTGCCGCTTCTTGCACCTTGAGGCCGTGCTCGTCTGTGCCCGTAGTGAACAAGACATCGCTGCCCTTGACTTTGTGCCAGCGAGATAGCGCATCTGCCAGCACTGCCGAGTGCACATGGCCAATATGAGGCGATGCGTTCACATAGAAAATTGGTGTGGTCACAAAGGTCTGAGAGGGTTTAGCAGCCGTGGAGAGGTGGGCCTGCCTAGCGCACAGGCTGCTCCGCAGACGCGTGATGGTGCGGCCCAAGCGCAGCATCACAGACACCAATTGTGTGAAATGCAAAAATTGATCCATTTTAAGTTGCAAATTTTAAAGGACTAAAATGTAGTCGTCCATTTTTTAATTTTAGATTATTACTCCGAGTTTTTAGAGTATTATAAATCCGTGGACTTCAAAAATACCAATTCTTGTTGCTTGTAAATGAAATTATCAATGAGCTGCGTGGTTGATGCTTTAGGTCAAAAGATCCTCCATACCCATGCGAGCTCGCTTTCTAGGATTTCCAATCATACCCCCATATCGTTGCGACAGGTGACTCAGCTCCTCTTTTTACTCTACAAGCTTCTTCTGGTGCTCTGCAAACCACGTCCGCGTCTTGGTGATAATTATGTACGCACCCTGGGCCCGGCCCTCAGTGAACGAGGCGTTCACTTGCTTCTCACGCATCCACTTGGCTGCGTAGTTCCTGGCTTGGCCGAGTCCATTGAAATGACGCACACCGACCGTGCTCATCGACACGTTCGGGCCACGTAAAAACGCTTGCACATGAGCATTATCCGGGAAAGAGGCGTCAGGCATTCCCATGAGAAAGACTGACCCTGTGCTTGGAGCAGGTTATTAGGCCACTCGATTCTCTTCGTAGCAATCGACTAAAGTACAAAGAACTTTTCGTTGTTTGCATCGATTGCCCCGATACGCTGTAAGAACGCCTTAATAACAGGTCCCAGCAACCTTGGCTGGATCTGCATGAATTTGGTCGCCAAAGCGAAGATGGCTATATTCTCGCATTAAACAGCCCATTTCCAGAGTAGGTCAAGCGTGTTGGATGCACACAAAACCTCGTCGCACAGTATGGCAGCTTTGCCGACTGCTGCATTGAGTAACGCTACCTGAGCAGCACCAGCATTCAGACCATCCGCGATCTGCAACGCCATCTTGATACCGGAAGATGAATTATTACTCTCACGTATACCAGTATACATGTACATGGCACCCATACCCATGCTCATCGGATCAATTGTCTCGCCCAAGGAAGCCAGAATCTCAGAGCCAATGTCGTTCCAGTCAAAGTAACGCAGTAAAGCCAGACGCAAGCTTCTCCTTCTTCTCATAACGAATCATGTTTCTAACGAAGTTGTAGAAGAACATTTGAACCAATCGTACGTCTCCAGCATCGACCAACAAGTCACCGGCAGAACTCGACCGACGCAGACGTTGGTTCACTCCACGACTGTAGTGACGGTCGCTGGTCTGCAAACTTAGAAGCAACCGCTTCCATGAACGTCCTCAAGGTGCCAGCATCAACGGGTCTTTGAGCTTGGAAAGCACCGACAGCTGCAGTGGCGCTAATATACTTAAATGAGTTCTCGACGCCACGTGCTGCTGGCCAACGTACGTACCCAGAGCATACCGAGCGTATGTCGTGCTTCTCGTCGCCCCCGTGTTGCCAAGATATCCTTCAAATGTGCTGTTGCAATGTTCGCCCATAACGCTGCGAGCGTGTCCTGTCCGGGATTCAGAAAGTTAAGTTTCAGTCCTGTTTTTAAAGAGTGACCAAGGATAGTTTGATCCGTGGCATACCAACTAGTCCACTCGTTGCGGTTACTTTACTCCCATTTACCAGCACCGTCGTAGTATTAATAGTAGCTGACGTCATGTTTAAGTTGCGCAATTTACAGTTGCAGTCTCTTTAAGAGCTTAAACCCGAGGCCCAGCTCAGTAATACTCTTTTCAGTGTATTCATGGATAGCTATAGAGCAAAAGATTCGTCCTCTGTACCCATTCTTGTAATCACAGTGCCCAACTCCTCGCTTAGGCTCTACACCTTTGTCCGCCCATAGTTGGCTCATTCAACATCCAAAGTCGGCAGCTTTAATTTTGGTTCATTTTTTGCCGGGGCGAGGTACCCGAAATAAGCAGTACCACCCTTTATATGAATCCAAATGAATTTTAGCCAATAAAAAGCTCGTTAAAACGATTCGTTTGAGGTGCTTCTTGCCTCTATCCGACAACTGACACTCGAGATTCTCTCAAATGATTGCCTTTGGCTACGTAGGTGCAGCGCGGAATCCATAGACGAAGTGGGTAAGGGAGACATTTATATCTCTTTGAAGGGGTCTGGGGGAGTGCAGCTCAATGCACACCAGAGAGAGGGCATTGACAAACCTCTACACGTTTTTATTTGCCAAAACGTTTGTTTATTTAGATGGGGCGAGGCAAACCACTGACAGACTTCGAGAAAGGGCAAATTTTGGCGCTGAAGGAGGAACACCAAAAGGAAAATGCTATTGCGAAGCGCATCAGTCGCTCGTGGAAGGTTGTGCACAGCTTTTTAAGCAGCCCAGAGACGTACGGCACGAAAAAAAAGTCCTGGCAGGCCGAAGAAGCTGACGCCTACGGCCGAGCGTCGACTGCTTTGTGAGGCATCTAAGACTGGTGTAAGCGCTAGAGCTCTAAAAGATTCGTTACAGCTACCTATCTCTGTTCGTAGGGTACAGGAAGTGCTGCACGACTCAGAGAATATGGTGCATGAGAAGCGGATTGCATGTCCAGTGCTCAAACCCGAGCACATTACGAACAGACTGAAGTGGGCCGAACAGCATGTGGAGCATGGCCGCAACTGGAACTCTGTGGTGTTCTCAGATGAGAAAAAGTTAAATTTAGAAAACCTGTGGGGTATCCTTGCTAGAGCAGTATACGTGAACTGAAAGCAGTATGACACTAAGATGGAGCTTGTAAAGGCCATCAAGAAAGCGTGGGCTGCCATTCCAGTGTCGACTGTGGAAAACCTGGTTCAATCGATGAAAAAACGTTGCATGGAGGTCTACCGCCTCGAAGGGCTCAAGGCCAAGTACTAGTACACCTACATCAACCACTTTAACCATTACCTTTGCCTGAATAGCGCTCATCTAGGCATCACTTAGTACTTCGTCCATCATTTTCGTGCTTTGCACACTAAGTCGAAGTCAGTTAATGGGCTGTATCTCGAGTGTCAGCTGTCGGATAGAGGCAAGAAGCACCGCAAACGAATCGTTTTAATGAGCTTTGTATTGGCTAAAATTCATTTGGAAAGAGCTTGAGATTGGAAGAAAAAATGGTGAAAAACGATTTTTCTTCTATATTTTCCGCGTGCACTGTATGGGCGGGCAAAGGTGTACAGACAACGACACAAAAAGCCGGCGTACACAAAACACGGAAAAATGAAAGCGCCCCATAGTAAATATTGACCAATCAAAAAGTAGTTAAGTTATGATGACCATCCAATAAATTGAGCTAAAATTCGGTTGGAAGCCGGCGATTCGAGGGTGAAGCCGCGCTGCACGATCACTTTCTAAACTACGATGGGGACGAAGAAGCAGCGCGGCTACCCAATTAAAGAGAAGCTGGCGGCAGTCGACCTCGTTGAGAGGATCGGGCTCACTGCCGCCGTTGAGAAGCTGGGCCACCCGCACGGCACGGTGCATGGGTGGTGGGTCGGTAGGGCCACGGTGCGCGTCTACGAGGGGAACAAGTTGGACAAGACGACCAAAGGGCAGGGACGTAAGGAAAGCTTTCCATTTACCTCTGCCCTTTTGACGTACATGAAAGACGTACGCCGCGACGAAGAAGTGAGTTATATAAATTTTATAGTATTTTATTATTACTTACTATTTTATTATTACTTACTCTTACTGTTTAACTCTTGTAGTTTCTTACTACATCAGGAATGATTGCGTTTATTCAAGAGAACTACCCTGACTGGATAGAGGCCTACGCGGAGAACAAGAAGTCTGACGTGAGTTGCAGACGGGCCCTTGAACGTCTACTGCAGCGAGCCGCCGACCGGTATTATCTGTAAAATATTATTGCATTATTAGCTGAGTTATTAATATTTTTTTCGAACATGATTTTAGTTACGGATTCTCAACTCAAAAAGCCCAAGAACCAAGCTCCCAAGTGTGGATCTGCAGCGCTTAAAAACGGATTTTGCAATTGAATTTTAGAGTAAGTACGGCTCATACTCTCTACCGGAAATCTACAACATGGATGAAACGGCCATCCAGTTCGACATGCCGCCAGCAAGAACCTAGGCAATTACTGCGGACGCATGACGGCTGTCTTGACAGTTCGCGCTGATGGTAAGTTTTTTTTGCTTTCCTTGTGCTAATTAAAAGTTTATATATTTGTTTTACTTTTGTTTACTAAAAATGTTTGTTTTTAGGAAAAAAACTTCCGATTCTCTTCATACTGCGCGGCAAACGTGGCGGACTTATTGATTCCAACGAGTTAAGCACGCTGCCAAGTGGTCACTTTTACACAGTACAAGAGTTTGGATGGATGAATACAGTCAGCTGGGAGTTTTTTGTGGATAACATTCTAAAATATGAAATTGACTCCCCTGCCCTCCTCTTAGCGGACAATTTTTATTGTCACGTTTCAGAGGAGGGTATGTGTGTGGTTGCCGAACAGGCATGCGCTACAGTGGTCGTATTACCCGCTAAAGCTACATCGGTTTGTCAACCGCTTGATGTAGGGGTAATGGGACCTCTAAAGTCTCGAATTCGAGGTAAATTACTACCCAAAAAAGGTCTTACGGCTGTTGAAAAACGTCTTCGAGCCATACAAGCTACAATTGCAGCTTGGGAAAGTTTTCCCAACGAGCACGTAATTCGTAGCTTTAAATCAGCAATTCCGTGCTATGAGTCGACAACGGTTTAATAAACAAGCGTAGCTGAACTTTTTATTCCATACTCTCAGTTTTATTCATCCAATCAAAATATGTTTTGCTAGTCGTCCGAGTTTTTGTGTCGCAGATTTTACTATCGGAATTGTGTTTATCAACTCCGGCTTTTTGTGTCGTTGTCTGTAGTCGTGATTTCTCATTAAGTGCCGCATAGTTGGAGGCAAAAATTTTTTTGCCTCCAACTATGCGGCAGATTGAATAGACAAGAACCAGTCGATATTCACTTGTCACTGTCTCCAGGGTTGTAAGCATAATGAACCGCGTAATGCGGCCCTCTTATTTTCCAAAATCATGGCGAAATTTTGGTTCTCCTCGACGATAAACCATTAAGTTGCGACATCATACCTTCATGCACACCTGGCAGCTGCACCACCAGAGTTGCCACCATTCCGTCCTCTTTCTCCGTATCTTGGTGTTTCACAAAGTGGCCGCCTTTTCCAAAGAGTCTTTAAAGTTTACACTGCATGGGGATGTCTTTTTACACAAGTCGAGCTGCAACAGTGTCCTTTAGCTCGTCCATCCCCATGTGCTACAACGGATGTTTCACATTCACTTGATCTGGCGCTAGTTGCCAGCTTTTACGGACGCTTTCGTCGATCTTTGTCTAGTTTCCTCACTTGTCGCTTTTGGCAATGAGTTTCGCCGCGTGTTCCTCTGTCAAAGGGACTCTAGATCACGGATGTAGAGTCCTGGGACTGCCGGTAAAGTATCAGCCTGACCTCCGAAGGAATATTCCCCAGCATAATTGTCTGCCCTGAAGAGCATTGCACTGATCTGTTGGCAAACAGCTCCCGATGGAATCAGATTACCCGAATGCCCCAAAATTTGGGGCCATTTGGGCCGAATGGCCATTTGCCACTGCCAAAAATCTCTTCTTCGTCGGCTCACGGTCACCACCGCCGACGCCCCGTTGTCGTTTCTCAATGGAATGCAAATATGATTGAGTCATTTCATACCAAGCAATCATTTTCACCATTTTTTTAACTGTTGAAGCTGTTGCAGTTGCTCAAAATGGCAAACATATTTTTTACAATGGATTCACAACTGAGACTCTACTGTGAGATGTAAATGAAGCATGTGCTTAGTAGCTGTCGGCATTGAAGTGGTCGGCCGTCATGACCTTGTTCCAGGCCTTGGCGAACGTCTGCTTGAAGGCGAAATCGTTGGAGGCGAACTTCTCCACCGTCGCCTTGAGCTCAGGCGCTTCGAGCAGTGCCAGATCCGTGTCGAGCATGTAGATGTCCTTGGCACCGGCCTTGAACTCCTTCTTGGACACGGGCGTCCACGTCTCGTTCAGCAGCACCTTGAAGTATTCGTTGGACAGCGTAGCCGAGCTGTTGCTGTACGAGCCGCTGAAGCCCAGCACCTTCTGCTGCGCAGCACTACGCGGGCGAGCGGCAAGAGCCACGGCCTCATCCGGCGACACACCCAGGATCTTAATGTTGTCACGCACAGCTGTCACCGACGAGTTGTAGTACTCACGCGGGGCCAGAATCTCGTCGCCGTCGCCGTTCTGACCGTCCGTACGGCCACCAAGGAAGTCGATCTTTACCTTGCCAGCGTCCTCAAGGGCAACCTGGCCGGCCAGCACGATGAGGTCAGCAGTCGATAGCGTGGGGTACTTCTCCTTAATAGGCTCAAGAGCAGCGATGATCTTGTCGACACCAGCGTTCACGGGCCAGTCCTTCTGCGGCGCAAAGCGGATCTTAGCGCCGTTGCAGCCGCCAGCGTAGTCCGTGATACGGAACGTTGAGGCGCACTGCCAAGCGGCGTGGACGAACAGGGCGCCGTTGTACGCCTTGCCATCGCTGCTCGAGTCGCTCGGAAGACCGTCCACGGACTTAGTAAGCAGCCCCTTGATGTCCGCACGAACAGCGTCGAAGTCCGGCAGGTTCTCGGGCGTCGGGGGTAGCGGGTTCTGGAACGGCTGAACAGGGGGGATGTCGCTACCGCGGCAACGAGCAACCGGACCCATGTCACGCGACACGAGCTTGTACCAGGCGTGTGAGAATGCCTCGTCCAGAGCAGCCTGGTCAGCGGCGAACTCCTTAGAGATCTTGAGGTAGCTCTCATCGTGCAGCAGCGCGATATCGGCCGTTAACATACGAACGGGAGGGTTCGTGTCGGGCACCGGGCGCCACTGGACGTGGCCACCGGGGCCGTCGAACTTCTCCCACTCGAAGCTGGTGAGACCCTTGAAGTAGCCGTTGCCCCACTTGGTGGGCGTGAATGTCCACTGACCCTCAAAGCCACTGGTGAACGTGTTGTTGCCCTTGCCCTTCATCTCGCCTTCACCACAGGTGCCGGGCCACGGGTTCTCAGGGTCCTTCAACGGAGAAGGACCAGGACCCGACGGACAGGCACCGTGTGTCTTACCAAAAGCGTGGCCACCACCGATCAGAGCCACCGTCTCGCGGTCGTTCATGCCCATGCGCTTGAATGTGTCGCGCACGTCGGCAACGGATCCAACCGGGTCGGGCTTGCCCATGGGACCCTCAGGGTTCACGTAGATAAGACCCATTGTGGTGGGGCCAAGAGGCTCCTTGCACTGGCCATTCACCTCACACGGGGCCACGCTCTCCTGCTCGGCCGAAGGGCCTAGCTGCAGACTGCTCGTGCCATCAGCATCATCACGACGACCACCGCAGAATCCGAGCACCGGTCCACCCATGCTCTTAATAGCAACGTCACCCGACAGCACAATGAGGTCACCCCATGAGAGGGCGTCGCCATACTTCTCCTTGATGGGGTTCAGCAGCTTCAAAGCCTTGTCCAAGTTAGTGTTGTCTTCCCAGCTGTGCTCCGGATTGAAGCGGATACGGCCGCCGTCACAGCCGCCGCGGCCGTCAGCACGACGGTACGTGCCGTTGCAGTGCCAAGCCAGACGGATGAAGAGACCACCGTAGTGGCCGAAGTCTGCGGGCCAGAAAGCCTGTGAGTCCGTCATCAGCTTCTCGAGGTCTGCCTTCACAAGGTCATAGTTGATCACCTCACAGCTCTTGGGGTCGTACAGCTCGCTGGAGATCTGACGGTCCTGCTCCTTGACAGACGCGACCTTGTCGAAGCCGAATGGGCAGCTTCCCGATCGGCCAGCGTCAATACCGGCGGCAAGACTGGCGAGGGCGGCAACGAAGGCGGCAAGACGGACGTTCATCTTCGATATTGGTGTGTCTTGCGACTGCCGAGTGAATCGAATTGTGAGAGAGCTATGGACAGCCCGTTCGCGTTGCTTGCAGTAGTCTAGCCTCCTCTGAGACGTTTGCCATCAAAGCTTTTGGCTGTTCGCATAGTAAAACAGGTGCAATGGTCGTTCGATTGAGTTGATGAGTCACAAGAGGGTTACAATTGCACTGTGGTCATTGAACCATAGGTTTAACAAGAACCATGCGCCAAACGGTCTCAAGATCAAAAACAAGATTTGACCTGGACCGACGGAACAGGCATTTTTACATGGATTAATACCTATAACTGCAGCATTTTAACCGGTATTGCAGAAGATAATTGTGGACGCAGGAACTGTCCCAAGTCCACAGGCATTAACCCTATAAAGCCGAGCGGGATTTAGCCGTTCTTGGTCCTGGGCTTAAGCAGCGTGCACACGGGTCTTAAACCACAAGGTATCGACTCGTGCTGCCAACCTCCACATGCGGGAATACAAATCCCAAGTTCAAATTGCAATAATGGTAGTCACGTGGGGACAAATTTTAATATTACTACTAAAAACACTGTTACAGAGCAGAGCAAAAATTTGATGACGAATACATGTATCCCACAAGGAAGGTCATGAAGTTCCTGGAGAAGATCTTCTCTCGCTTTGTTTCCTGCAGGACGACAGCATGAAAGCGGGAAAATGTACCCGGAACAGTTCTGGCGTACTACATGTACATCCTTGCTCATAGCTAAAATAAAATTTTGGAGTAATATCATCACTCCCAATGAGGCATGTGCGCCTGGAGACTGTAGTCGGTGCTCGCAGTACCACACTCGTTTACATGTACCGGTACCGGTATGTACTTGACATGAAAGCCTTCGGGGCATGCTTCCGAGCTACATGTACATGCACAAATAATACCGGTGGTTAAGCTTACTTACAAAAAGAGCTGTAGAAGCAAGGTGGCATCGGATACTTAGAGGTAGGACACGGTTCTTTTCAGTGTCTTTTTATTTTTGCACCAATTCCAGTGGTCGACTGGCATTCTGTAAAATACATGTATTAATAATTGCACACAGCCACAAGTTCGCTTTCATCTGCTGTTAGATTACTCTCGGTGTACTGTCCTCAGGGGTTAATGGTAACTCCAAAATCGGTGAATTTTATATTGTGAAAATATCACCTGTAGACCAGCTAATATAAAAAATATCACCTAATATTTTCTTCTGAGACAATATGATATTATTAAATATCAACTTAATATTAATTAATACTATAATATATTTTTCCAAGATTGCGTAATCGGGATAAATTCACCAATCAGATGTCGTTAACGCTCGACTAGCTGAAGTATTACTAATCAACCCTGAGGGAGGGACAATTGTGAGAGTGACGGCAAGGTTGGCGTCGTGTGTTGGCACTGCTGAGCGCATTAATCTAGCGCCACAGGCAGCAGGTTTATTAGACGCTCGATGTGGACGAGGAGATCGGTAGAGAACAAGAACAAATGTCTTGATTTCGCTCTATCAACGTTAAATAGCTGCAAGCGTTTGCAGTTTTCCATCTCGATCGCCTTTGTCTGTGTCACAGCGAAATACTAGAGCAAATACTCGTCATTCTTAAAGCCTACTGCTTTTCTAGAACCTGATCGAAAAAGTTACGCTCGGTTCACAGAGGGTAAGGTGGCAAGAAACGTACTTAAGTAAAAAAATATCATAAAATATCATGTAGTATCTAATATTTTTCAGTTCTCCGAGGTAATATTAAAATATTATGTTAACTTTTAAAAAAATGAGTTACTATTAATATTTAATATCAAAAATAGTACTATTATTATGTAAAATATCATATGATATTTGGTTACCATTAGCCCCTGACTGTCCTACACCGTGTAGTACCGGTACAGTAGGACATCGTGTCCCCATGTCGAATTTTGACTGAAAGCATACGGACAGGCCGTAATCGGAACTTCCGATTCGGAAGTACTGTACAAACCCTCGAGTTTGAGATGTGCAGACAGTGATTAATAATCATTGAATCTAACTTATGGTTCCAGTACATCATTTCACGGTATTTAAAAACGGCGAACAATTTGTTGCCAGCTGGCCTTTCACTTGAGTCGTGTTTTGTTTGAATGCTATATACTGGTACATGTACATGTAGGATATTCGCCTTCATGCTAAAAAGCCATCCCTACTGTTCAATTGTGCGCGTTGTTGACGCTCGAGGTCCGGTACTACCGCATGTACGAGTGAGCAACGCCGGAAGTGAAAGTTGATGGCGAAGCATGCCGATCATCAATGCTCTATCTCAATGAATGCAATTAAACTGGCAAATCATGACTACTACAACCGAGTTTATGCCCATCAGTACAAAGGTAAGTTTTTTTCTATTACTACCTCAAATCTAGCGACCGCACAAAAATAAATGATATCATTGGCTATTATTAGGCTAAGAATAGAGATTTGCTATTTTTTAATTTGTGGCTAATACCAGCTACTTAATACGTATCAGCTGTGCAGATAAGCATGATGTGCTGCCGTCTGATCGCTCTAACGGCAGGCACAACAAATGTTATTGTTGTCAACATCGCTATCAAATACCAGCCAGCTAAGTTGCCCGATATGAACGTACTCGAATTGGGTCTGTTTAACTTGCTACAGTCGGCTCAATACCGCACACCAACGTACAAGATCGATGCTTTAATTGCGGAAGCTGAAAAACTTACTGTGATCTTTCTAGTAGGACTGTAGATAAGTACTTTTTGACAGCACAAAAAATACCAGAATCTGTCATTGCGTGTGATACATACAAGGCAACATTCGCCTAATTGAAAACTTTTACGTTTTTATTAACGATACCAGAGAGCTTTGTTAGAGTTCTAAATTTTACAAATTGAAGTTGTGCAGTGTCTAGACGAAGACACACTGAGGAGCTGGTAATGCTCCGGGTAAATTGTTGCCGAGCGTATTGCTAATTGCAAAGTGAGCTGCTCTGGTCTAAGCTACTTGCTTGGACTGCTTCCATGCAGCTGTGCGTTATGAAACCACCTGATGTTCGGTGAACATCGCCTTCTGCCGTTTGATTGTCACCAACATTGTCGTTATGCGGGAATGGGTAAGCCTGCACTACGTTACGCATTGCCATCATCATCTTTTGTAAGGTTAGTTGTTATGAACGTAATTAGCCTGCTCACTGTTGTGCTGGCATAATCCCTGCACTACAAGTTTTTTTTTATTTATTTTATATTAAAAAATCTATTGTGAATGTTTAAATTTAAATTTAAGCATTCACAATAGATTATGCATGTAGGGTATATTTTTTAACCCCTTAGTTCCCTTATGTTGTAGGGTACAACATAAGCGATGTATACCCTAATTCACTTCGTGTCGCAGCATCTATGCTATGTTGGAGGTCCAACATAACGGACAATTATACTGAGGATTTGTATTAAGAAACTGATCGTGCACGGATATAGTGAAACCAAGATATTTTGCTAAGAATAAAACGTCCAAATGCACAGGCTTAGATTTATCAAGAGGGGGATCGGCTGAACTAGATATAAAAAGGAATACCAAACGAGTGGCCGGTAGCTACCAAAGTGCTCATTCTCCAAAAGGCCGGCTCCCGCGAAGATGTCTGCTCCGGTCGGAAAATCCCCCCAGCATAAGCTCACAAAAGAAGATCGGCAACGATGCCTTGAGCAGCGACTGAGCGAGAGGCACATGCGGCGGCTTCGGCGGGCGGATGGAAAGGCGAGCGCGAAGGATGAGGGCTATCAGAAGAAGGCCCCCAGAAAGAAGGCAGCAAAGCACACAACACCTGCCATGGAGGTAGCCCAGAACAAAGGATCATCACCGGACCGTGGCCCCTCTGGTGAGGGTCAGGAGTGTGTGGGGGATGCCGAAGAGAAGGAAAGAGCCTCTGGAGAAGCTCCTGACGCCATGGAGACAGCACCAGCAGTGCAGATGGCGTCCCATTTGTCGGAAGATCGTGTTCACCACGCCGCAGTTGCTGCAGTAGTTGATGACATTGTCGATTATGTTGAAACTACGGAGGCCGCGACTCCAGTGAGGCCAATGAGTAATACTGAGGACGCTCCTCATCTAGGCAGGACATGTTCGCCACCTACGAGCGAGTCTGCGTCAGCAAAGCGGCGCCGTGCTATCCTGCAGGACGCCAGTGACGGCGATAGCGACAGCGAGGTGAGTTATGTTGGCATTGACCTGCATAAGGTCGCAAAAAAATAGTAAAAATCCCACATATCACTCACACAAGAATGTCTGCATGTTCAAATTGTAAGCAGGGACCTGCCAGTGAAGAAAACGCGACAGACGGAGTCGCTGCCTACGCGATTCGAGGATGTGTCGTGGATGCCGATCCAAATATGATGGAAGGTGGAGCAGATAAGTGTACTGGTCTCAACTCAGACGAGGACACTGAAGTACAGGAAGAACCGGAAAAGGAAGAGGATGCAGAGGACGAGCCGTGGAACGGAGACTGGGATCTCAGCGATCTCAGTGACGAAGAGGACGAGATGGTGCACGAAGAACTCCCCGACTCAATTTGGGCGTCAGCTGCGAAGGACAAGGATCTCATGAAGGAAATGCGGCACAGTGGATGGGAATATGGTAAGTTATGCTGTTCATATACAGCATATCAGCGATTCATTTTCCCTTCTCTCAATATAAGAGCTAACATAACTATTGTTTATTGTATTTGTGTGTGTAGATCCGAGTAAATTTGGATCTTACCCGACCTACAACGAGCTTTTTGATGGTGAATTCGGTCCAAGTGAGAGTGTTCTCAGCGTTGCCGAGGATCCACTTGCTATCCTGTTCTATTTTATGCCACCAAAGCTGTGGTCTCAGATGGCCGTAGAAAGTAACCGATATCGGGATCAGGCGGCACCTGCACGAGCGCGAGCAGTTCGAGCGCAACAGCGACGACGTGGAGGCGAAGCTGAAGAAATTGGTGAGATCCGTCGTCGCTTGGCAAACGCCCCTGATATCGAACCACACGAGATTCTACGCGT